CCCACTCACTGCCCTGGATAATTGGGATCTCCTTAGACCAGAGGGAAGAGTGTCCCCTACTCGCCCTCCAACACCACTTCCATCAGCATCTTGTCTCCCATCTAGGGACTGACCAGGACCAACCCTGCTTAGCTTCAGAGGTAAGCCAGCAGTGCTATGCAGGGTGGTATGCTGCTGGCATTAAGGGAATGGTCTCTTGGAAACATTCCTTACATCAGAGGAAAATTTTTATTAAACAAGGTTAGTTAATGACCTAATGCAGGGTTCCCCAACTGGCGGCCCGCGGGCCAAATCTGGCCTGCCAGCAATATTATCTGTACCCCCAAATGAATTATGAATATTTGTTTCATAAAAATACAAAATCAAAATTTTTAAGATATCGGACCCGAGATGCAAAACTCCCAAATGCAATGTCCCAAGAAGGAAGTTACCCTACCTAAGTAATGCAAAAGTTACATTTTTACCTTCATTCATAAGGAGAAAGAATGCAGGAAGACAGTCAACTAATAAAGCAGACAGCGGACCATTTTGTGGTGCTGAAACGTAAAGCTGCAACAATCAATCAATAGGAGGTGAACAGCGCCTGGAGCTGAAAATATAGCTAACTTGTTAGACAAGTGTTGCACAGCAACAGCTGGAGAAAACCTACACCAGTCGTGTAATTCATTTCAACAATAATCTTCATTTTAATTTGACTTTACAAACAACAAGAGGGCTTAACTGGAGTCTTTCTTCCGAGCTTATATAAAATAATTTAACTGGCTAAGGTAGGCTATGAGGCTTAACAGCATCTTTAACAGCATCTTTCACAATAAAAAAAATATACGGCCTAATAGAAGTGGGATATTTTTTTATTAGGCCTTACTATTGCAACTGGCTAAAAATGTATCATCTTACATAAAACTATAATTTAAAGACAAAAAGGCGATGTCTGTATCGGGATAGCCTGCTTATTTAACGACAGAACAAACAGAAAATACAGTCAGCTTGAGACCTAAATATCCCTGGATAAGCACTCACAATAATGTTAGTATTTACTAAATACACTAAGTAACTAACTCAATGGGAAAAGTTGCATTTCCCCTCGGACACGATCTTGTGGATGTCGCGTGAGATGGGTGTGATTTTGATGCGCAGGAGTCCTTGATTGACTTATGTGAAAGCCAGTTCCTGTCGTGAGTCTGTATTGCGTTCATAGATGAAAATTAGGACTTGCAGGTGTAAGTCGATCCAAACATTGTTAGCACATAAAATGCAAGTTTCTTTATTGTGCTGTATTCCTCTGAGCATGCACCCAAAAACGCACACAAGGATTCGGCACTTCTGAGCGCATCCCTGATTTGGCTAGATGTCTGGAATTCAATCAGCTCAGTTTGAATTGCGGCCTCATCCAGCGAGGGTATTGTATTCTTAGCAAGGGAAAATAATTATCCACCTGGGCGGACTGCGAGAGGTTCACGTACAAACGCAATAATATTCTTGGGCATGCTGTTGTCTTCAAATCTGGTGGAGAAGTTGTCCCTCAGCTGCTTGATGAAATCTTCCATCACCTCTGTGACAATGCTGCGGCCTGGTCCCTCTGCCTGTCGTTTCTTCAGTGTGCTGAAGTGCAGTAGCCTTCCAGATGACAAGTCCAAATCGAACAACTCAAGCTTCCTAGTAAAGGCCTCAGGTTTTTCCACCATGTCCACAACTGTTTTCCCTCTTCCTTGTAACTGGATATTTAACCAGTTTAAGTGACAGAATATGTCAGCAAAAAAAGCTGTGTGTGTAACTTGCAGTTAACTCTTCAATGTTTCTGCGTCGGGCCTCTGTCTGGGGCGGGAAGGCCACTGAAAGTTCCATGCTTAGATTCATAATGACGTCTGAGATTGAATTATTTGTAAACAGCTACATTTTCATTGCAAATAAGACACACTGGCTTGTCATTGGGAAAAGATGGTAAGATGAACACATATCTATCCGTACATTCTTCCCTGAAACTTCGATTTTCATTATCCACCTTTCTTTTGATACTTTTTGAGAGCAACATTTTCTCTTGCTATCAAGCTAATTGTTCTGAACGAATGTTGACGTAAAAACAAGTACAGTAGGCTACGTAGACCTGTTTTTCCCACCAATCAACAGAGAAATTGACAAAAGAATATTTGAATAGAGACATGGTGATTTTATGAGCGTAATCAGATCAAAATGATTATGTCATTGTCACTGAATTTATTATGTACCAATCGGATGTGTTAAACATATTGTTCAATTTGTAGTGTAGGCCAATTAATTGTGATAATATTATATACTAATTACGTTCTGGCCCGCCGACTATTAGCTCAGGAAAAATGTGGCCCGAGGCCAAACCTAGTTGACGAACCCTGACCAAATGAGACTTGTTTTCTAAAGTTGCGGGAACGTTTGTTGTTAGCTGGGATGTCAGTCGATCACTCACTGCCTGCCTGCCTGCTTGCTTGCTTGCCTGCCACCTCTGCTCTGTACGGTTTGCTCCATGCAAGACGCTCTGTGAAGTTCCTAAACCACTTCATACACAAGGTTCTCCTAGCCAGTGTTATTACACATGATCAGGATAATGATGGGGGCTTGGCTTTGGCAACAGCAGTCTTCAGATTACAAAGCCTCCAGTGTCCTACACTTCCCCTTGAAATACCCCTATGGCCTCATAGAATTAGAAGCACTCATTCTAATTCTAACTATGAATGGTGTTCCGATGGTTTCAGGATAAGGGGATTAAAAAGTACCTTTCATTTACAAAAGTTTCAAGCTTTATTTTGATTTCTATATATCTGTGATTCCTAGGTTGTGTTTATTTTTGGAGACAGAGCAGTGCTGGGGTGTGTTTGTGTGTGTTGCCAGGACAGGGGAGAGTAGGGAAGGGTAAACAGGAGGAGACAAGACACAGTCGTTCGTCCCTGAGAGGCAGGCAGCAGTGGGCTCCATGTGGTGTGGTTGACAGTCAGGCGGATGGGGGACACTCCTTTCTTCCACCCTCGCCACAACGCCACCACTCCACTCCCCCGACTGGACCGACCTGAGAGTGGCTGGGTCACATCCAGATGATCTGTCTCGCTCCGCCTCTCCTCCGCTGCTGCTGTGAAGACTCAGAGATTCCTCCTCAGGGCTTCCTCCCATCTGCTTTTGTGCTTCTTCTCAGGTCTTGGCCCAAAGCCTGGGCATTTCCCTGACCCTTCCTGCCTGGCCCAGCAGCAGCTCTCTGGGCTGAGGGCCCTGCTCCGCTCCCCTGTCCCCCTGCCCTTTCACCCCTGCCTCTTATCTTCCCCTTCTGTTCTTGACTGCGTCCCAAATGTCACCCAATTCCCTATATAGTGCACAAAGTAGTGCACTATATAGGGAATAGGGTGCCATTTGGCACACAACCCTTCTTCTGTCCTGTCCCACAGCTGTGACTGCACTCTTTCCTCTCCTCCTCAAAACACGTCGTCCCCGCAGGGAGAGCAGTTCCTCTGGACGTCCAGTAAGTGCCGGGACCCTCTGCTTTCCTCCTTCCTGGACGGAAGCCATTGGCAATAAATTCTGTCTTCACACCCATTTTGACAAATGCACCTTCAACTTCTCAGAGATGAAAATAAATCCAGGGGACACAGAGTGTTCCTCGTCATGTCATATGGGCCCGAAGCCTCTTACACAAACACTGGCAAACACTGGATGTGTCCATTAAAAAACCCATATGCAGATACCATTTTTTATTCTGCACTATAGTGTCTGGATAAGGGGCCATCAAGATGAGAGATTTATACTGGTGAGTTTGAAATCACAAATCAGTGCAAAATGAATTAAATATTGCCTGTGTAAAATCGCAGACAGACCAAATTAATCTGATTCAGATTATTAGAACAACTGTATTGTTTTTAAAGCTCGTCCTATTGTTCTCCTCAACACTACCTTCCTTTCCCTCCGTTTCATTGATCAATACCAGAACTGTTATGAAGGACCCAAAGCGAGGAAAATCAGAACATAATTCTTATTACATACAGTATGTTCAAGACATCTGTTCAGGATGTGCATCTCTTCGTCTGTTTTTGTCTGTCTGTTGTCTATACACATAAATGAGATTTCCATGCTGCGGATCACGCATTGATTAATATGCGGATACTAATATGTATTATGTTTGACTGGGACCACTAGTAAATCATAGGCCGCTGCCTGCCTGTCAGTGATCATCCAAATATACACACTCCTTTGTTTGTGGTGTGCTAATCAATGACAATCATAAATATAAATGTTCATATCATAATTTGTTTTTCAGTTCTTGTATGTATGCTAAGCTATACTCACCCAAAGAATGCTGCCTTGGTTGCAACCTATGCCAAAAGATAGCATACAGTATGTCTATTATTTCACAGGACATGACATCACAGCTGGGCCGTCTCCCAAAAAGCACCATCCATCCCATTCACAGAGATACAATTAGACCCATTACCATTCCTAAACCATGACATTGTCTGGTGATGCAAAACTATGAAAAACTGGCACGGGTATTGGAATTGCTATCGGAAAACCTGACATACCTCATTGCCTTCAAATCAAAGATCCCACATCGGGCACTCAATGGGTGGAGAGGCAACCTTGGCTGAGAGGACCGGCAGATGATGAGTTATGGAGTAATAAGGCTGCCTAAGCAAAGAATCTGAGTAAAATAATCTACTATATTCGAGAATCTGAGTAATCCACCATTATAGTATTTTTTCAGTTTTTAGCATCAAATGTTTCCCCGGTGGCCAGAGCTTACTCATGGGTTAATATTTGCCCTGAACATTATGATAAAGGAAGACGTTTTCCATTGAAAGGCCCAACAATTAGATAAGTAAAGACAAGAAAGACATATGTCAAAGTCAAATTGTAATGGAGAAATGGTGGTTACTGCACACTCTTTGAGCTCTAATGAGCTGGAGGTCAGAAACATATGTGATACAAGATGCCAGGATCTGTTCTCACAAAAACCTTGAAGTGAGCTCCAACAGTCTCCACTCACCTGCATTTCTAAGAAAGTGATGCTCATAGTTAGTGATGACCCTGGTGTTGGGGTCGTAGAATCCATCCCCACAGTCATAGCAGCCATCTGGGATGACACGCAATGAGCCTAGGTCGGTCAGCTGAGACTCCCCTGCCAGGACAGATATACAGAGAGTCAGTGACTGGTCAAGTATTGAGACAAACAACAAAAAGCAGAAGTGACTGAATTTGAGAAAAAAAATAGAGATTGTGGTAAAAACCATTGAGATAATATATTATATTCCATTGCTATGGTATAGAGACTGAATAGATGATTACCCTAATTATTTTTTTAAGTTGCACTATGCAGAAATCGCTCTGCCATTTCCTGATTGCTAAAACACCAATAGCTCGCCTAATTTCAGTTTATGTGACAAAATAAGCAAGCATAGTGTAGAGAATCATTGTACCATCTAAACCGCTCTGAAATATATTTTCAATAACCAAAAATATTGTTGTTTCAGCTGTTTCAAGCTGGTGTACAAAACCGAAAGTAAAAGACGCAAAAACAAATCTAAGAAACAGGACGTATAGACTTGCTTTCAAGTAGAATGATATATTTATAACTCATATTTCTATGAGAATTTGGTCAGGTCGCCCAAAAAGTTACATATTGCCACTTTAAGGATTTGAGGATTTAGTCTGCTTGTATTAAAGAGGAACTGACACTGTTTTAGCACCATTAAATCTTATTAAAATATGTTCATATACACCCTCTGGAAGATTTTCACAGAAAAATAAGCTATAGTTTACCTGCAGGTTTGAGTCCATTGCACCTCTCAGTGTAGAACTGTCTGTCATAACCATCACAGAACCATCACCATGTCATAACCATCACAAAAAAAAAAAATACAAAAAAAAAAAAAAAAAACTCCCAGTCCTTCACTTGGTACTCCAGTCCATCAGAGAAGGTATACTTTCCCTGTGGATGAAACACTTTGTAGTTTCAGTGATTAAAACACTGTAGTACCCTGCATCAAACTGTTTTAGTTTTTCATCAACTTGAAACTTGCATCTAATGGCAAAATAGGGCTATTAGGCAAAAAAGAGACAAACTTGTGTTTGGATTGGGGAATTACATTTTACCACAACATAGGCCTATGTAAATATAGTCAATTGTCTTTTAATCGTGCATCATTTGTTAAGAGGTCTAGGCTATGTTCCATATCCTGTGGAGTTTTTACCACGAACAAAGGCTCTGAGCTGGCTGGGAGTCAGGTGTGTTTGGTCATGAGCTTGCTTGCAAGATCATGTCTAATGGACCGTAGTAATCATGATAATAATCGAACTACCTACTATTATGGCTGAGATACGCATGAATGAACGGTTGACCAAAAAGGAATGCATTTCCTGTGTGGAGCATGCAGAGAGCACATGTAGGAGTAGAGGTATAGCAACGTAATAATTGCGACAATGAATGTATATCATTGCTAAAGGGGACCAGATGTAATGTCCACTATAACCAATGTGAAACACACACATAGACCTACACATGTATGAAGGTCCACACACACACACACACACACACACACACACACACACACACACTCACACAGAAAGTATGCTACACACATGTTTGGATATCCCTTTCTCCCAAGTTCCTTCATATTGGCTTCCATTTGTAAAATGGAGTACACCTTTTCCATGGATCATACCATTCTTCATCTCCCCAACATATCTTGTCTCTGTGGGGAACTTATACTCTCCTTCTCCCTCCATCCTGAGGAACAGAGCAAATTACATAGCTAATTCACCAGTGGTGAGATGAGAACAACAATGAACTTTGAACTTCAACTTGTGCAAGAACTGGTGCAAGCTAGCTAGCTACCCAACATTTCAATTTTGACACAGACCATTTTGCTAAATTGCTATGATAAAAATAGTGATTCATTTACCTGCCATTCTTGAAGGCTCCAGTGTAACTGCTACCTGTGAACTCCATATTTGTTATTTTATTAAAAGTTACATAGAGAAACTGGTTTTTTTTTTTTTTGCGGTCGTCACTTGTTACCACAGCCACAAATTCATAAACCCCGCATATTTCTACAATTTCTCTTCTTAGTGTGATTTTAAACCTAACGCAAACCTTACATTTAGACCAAAAAGCACATTTTGGTTTTCATGGACTTTTAAGATTTGGCAAATTTTGACTTTGTGGCTGTGCTGTCTGGTGGAAACCGGTTTCTGCAACTAGGGCTGCAGTGCAGTGCAGGGTGTTTGTTAGACAACATCGCCATGGAAACGGTGAAGATAGGGTTGTGTGTCTTTTTGCTTATTTCACCCTTTGCATTGAGTGTATTATGCTAAAATAAGCCGAGCATGTTATCTCGTCTGAGAAAAAAAACAAAGCTTGTTAACACAATAATTGAGACAATGCAAATTGCTCTAAAAATCGAGTAAAGAGACGAAATGGCTCACCTTTCCTCAGTTTCGTGTCGCATAGAAATTGCGTCACTGAAATGCGTTTGAAACCTGCGGACATGCGCAATGCACTGACCTTCCTTGTGCGGTCTCGTCCTGTAGCTAGACGAGGACCTTGAGTGTGTTGAGGAGTTTATCACTTTATTCTCTCATTTTGATTAATCTAACAGAAACCGAACCATGCCGGGTTCGGTGGAGGTTCCCACTTTGAACGACTTGAATGTTGAGGAGGTAAGAACGAATCATAGTATTGAGGAACAATCTGGTTAGCAATGCTAGCTTGCTAGTTAGCTAAATCAGCTGCAATTGCAGCTAGCATAGCAAGCTAGCATAGCAGGCTAGATAACGCTAGTTAGAACGTTTTCTAAATAGGCTACTACTGTACTGGCTTTCCAACAAGTTTGCTAGCTAGGTTTCGTTTGCTAGCTTTTGTGGTGATTGGAAAGTCTTGTATATGCATAGCTAGATTGCGACAAGATCTCTGGGTAGAAAGTTGGCTTGCGTTTGGGACATACAAACACAGCTGTCTCGAATATACACAGGGTTGTTAGCTATACCCTACAGTGCAAGATAAGCGCTAGCTAGCGTGTTATTGTGGAATTATTTCGCAATAGCTAACTAGATTAGGCTGTTAATGTTTGATATTGAAGTAGGCTAGACATGTCTAAATACGGTAAGTGTATCTGTGTTCGTGTTAAATAGGGTCTCATTCTTCCTTTGCGCCTGTGTAGATCAGTGTGTCGTCTGCGGTGCTGAAGGGTGCTGCCCACCACTATGGCTCTCAGTGTGACAAGGCCAACAAGGAGTTCATGCTTTGTCGCTGGGAGGAGAAGGACCCAAGGAAGTGTCTGAATGAAGGGAGGAAAGTCAACGAGTGTGCTCTTAACTTCTTCAGGTAGGTAATCATAGTGTTGAGCTACTAGACACCCACATGATAAAGGTAGGTCTGTTTAACTTGAGCAACTTCAAGGCTGTTTTAGTGTCAGGATCAGTGATAGTTGTGACGCGATTTTAAGCCTTTATGTGTTTACATTTTTGTTGTTGTTGAAAATATGTGAACCCCTGTGTCAGGCTGTATGTTTATGAATGGAACTGCTGATCCACATTCAGCTCTTATCTCTACAATAACTTGCTAATCTTTGCGGTCTGCCGTTTTGATTGATTGTTTTTTCAACAGCTTTGTTTTCATCCAATGAAACTCAACCAGGGTGTTTTGACATTGCCTTTACAACAGTGAATGTTATGTTTAGGTTAAACTTAGCACATGTTTACCTTTCCGCTTCTGTTCTGCAACTGACCAACAAGAGTCAAGAGTGTGAGGCTATAGGATAACTATAGCCTGCTGTTTCTCTGTCAGACATGGGATATAGGTGGAAGTGGTCTGCCTGTGTTGTCTCTCTGTGGGGCATGGCATCTGTGTTTACAGAAGGCTGCTGTGCACTAATAACACGATACCGGATGAGTGCACACAGGCACACACCTCTGCAGTGACTGGTAGCTGTCACTGAATGGGGCAGTGCTTGACATGCAGGCTCTCTCTGTGTAAGGTCCACAAATAACACAACCACTTCCAAAGCAGGAACCAATAAACAGTTCTGGTCCCAGATGTAAACATAGGGTTACTGAGAATGGTAATGCATGTCATTATTGTAATGGTGCAAGATTTGGCAACTTATAATTACACCTGGTTGTTTAGGCTTTGGAGGTCCTACACCCACATCAAAGTTGTAGCTTACTCGCATTACAAATGTAAATACACCTAGGGGTAGCTAGATAGTAGTACATGCATCTGTAAAGTTTTTTTTTTTTTTTAAAGTCTGGTTCCAGGATTGTAATATTATGAACCCATGTATTAATTTCTCAATAAGAAAGTAAACGCATGTGCAGCGTGTTTGGAAAGGAATACATTTAGAACTGACTTTAGTTGCCTGGGAAAGATGGAGTTGCCGGAGTGTGATGGAGGATATTCTTCAATGGCCTATTCTCCTGATAGGAGCCAACGGCTTAAAGAGCAACTGAATGTGCCGATTGGCACGTGTTTTCTGTTGCTCTTTAGAAAAACGAGATTTCAGTCTTGGAGCAGGGTTTCCGTTAGCCGGTTATAGCCCGCTTTTGGCCGCATTTTTTATTTATTTAGAAAAGCCGGTAAATAAAATTAGCGCTGGCCAATTGTCTGGGAGAAGAAGAAAAATCTAATTGTGAAGTAATGCTTTTTAGGCTGTTCATTGATGGAAATACCAGTCAATGGAAATACACTTAACTGGTCATGCTTATCAGTCTATAGGTTAATTTGCATAATTTTGTGGAATTAAATTGGCATGTGTGTACAGTATATTCGTTATGTATCTTATTTATCACACGCGTACAGCATACAGATACAGAGCCTAGTTTCAGCAGGAAATCTGTCAAGACAGCACAAGAGCTGCTGCTACAGCATCTAAAACAGCAAATACATAGGCAACGGAAGGCAGGTTTCACCAGCGCGTCACACACCACTTTGCAATGAGCTGGAGGCAGTATGCATTTAGAAAATATATACTTAATTGTTTGAAACCTGAACGTTTTACTACATATTATGAGGCATGTCTTGCCTTGCTTCATAGTAGCCTAACCAAAATCAGACCATATACGTGGAGGCAATTATTTTATATAAACTTTCTTTCATTGTCCAGTAGCCAAAGGCACAATCCAAGTCATATTATCAACCTATGCTAGTTGTTGCACATAAGATCTCCCCTCTTAAAAAAAGTGATATTTTCATTCTGTCACATTAAACCTATTGAATGTGCAGTGTGCTTTTGACAACTTTCTCGCTAATTGCATTATGGAACGAACATTCGCACATAGCCTACTTCCTTGTGCGCATTGCTGCGCTTATAATGTGAAGAAATTGTTTATCAACATTTTAAGCTAAATGTTCTGATCTGTTGCGTCAGACTCTTTAAAAATATATATATGTGTAGCCTACTGGTTGTATGAATTTGGGATCTATCGTTCCACAATTGTCCAATAGTCAGTTTGGAATAGGCTATTTCTTTCTCGACAAGCTGACCAATAGAATAGGTAAACTGTTCTACTATGGGGGATAGTAGATTGACATAGGCTAGTGATTTTGCTGTTCGTTACTCGTCGTCTTAGCTGAGGAAAGGTAAATGTGGGCAGTTATTCTAACATCTTCAGAATTCGGTAAGAAGGATCGCACATCGTTTGCATCCTCGACATGCATGTTCTGTTAAAATTAATTACCATATTCTAAATGTGATTTGTCATTCTGAGCACCGTGGGTGGACGCCATAATCAGGTTACGCACCCAATGCATATGGGTCCGGTACATTTCTCAAATGTCCGGTAAATTAAAATCCTGCCGGTCAAATGTCTGGCGCCACATTTTCCTAACGAAAACCCTGTCTAACCCTGCAGCGTGTTGTCTTAAACAAAGTCGGAGCTGATGGGCAGGTCTGTCTCACTGTCTATGCTATTGGATAAAGAGCAATCACCGCAGCTGTTCGCCACATGTTAGTGGGCAAATGGAATCCTCAAATCAAAACCTAACCTTAATTTACTTGTTGTGATACACTGGGGTTCCAAACTCCGTTTTAGAAGAGACTGACTTTATGACCAAAAATTATCCTATTTACACTGTAGCCAAATGACACTAGAACAACTGTTTCTGACTCATATTGATGCGCCACAGGCCATTTACAAAGGGATCCTTTGTCCTTTAAAGGCAGTCACTCTTTAAGTAATTAAGTAAACAGCTGCATGGGGATGTGATTGTCTGAATTGTCACCAAAAAAACAAACACCTGGTGCTTAAAAAATGCTTACTGATTTTTTCCTCCAGGCAGATAAAGGGAAGCTGTGCTGAGTCCTTCACAGAGTATTGGACCTGCCTGGACTACTCCAACCTGGCAGAGCTCCGTCAGTGCCGCAAGCAGCAGCTGGCCTTTGACAGCTGTGTGCTGGACAAGCTTGGCTGGGAGAGACCCAACCTGGGAGAACTGTCCAAGGTGAGGCCCCCGGAGCTATACTGCCTGGAGATTTACTGCCTTGCAGTATAGTTCTGGGCATTTAAAAGTTACTTGACAGTAACATCAGGTACATCGTTAACGTGACAAACTGTCATAGGGTGATGTCAAGCTCCAAGTTCATTAGCAATTATTTAACAATAACCCGACAAGATCTGGGAGTAAAAAGTTGGCTAGTGTTTGCTAGCTAGTTAGCAAACGTTAGCTTTTTATTTCTGTGCAACAGTCTCTGTTTGGGACATACAAACAGCTGTCTCTAACACCCATGGTTGTTAGCTATACTCTACAGTGCAAGATAAGCTAGCTAGCGTGTTGTTGTGGAATGTGAAAAACTCTCATAGGGTGACGCCAAGCTCCAAGTTCATTAGCGATCATTTAACAATAACCCTTGTAGTGAAATACATTTCTGAAATATGCCCCGGACGTGCAACAGTTACATCCACTTTGAAGTATTTTTAGTTTTTGAATGCCCCCAACTGTATACTGCCTGCTTGTCTGCGGTTTGCCTTTCTGTCCTCCAGCAGAAGTGTTAAAGGGATACTACGAGAGTTTGACATTTAGATTGTTTTTCTACTTACCCAGAGTCAGCCAGATTTAAAAAGCTACACATAGTAATCCATATTTTATAAATTCGGTAATTTTACTGATAGTCATAAGAAACGAGATTATGTCCACTTCCTCATTCTGTCCCGTTGTCGCATAGAGATGTATAGAGATCGAGATCGCAATGTTGTATCTGTCTCAATTGCGCTTCCCGTGCGCTCACAGATGCCATAATGGGAAAGATACAATGTTGCGATCTCTATGAGACAACGAGACAGAATGAGGAAGTGGGTAGAATGTAGTTTCTGATGATTATCAGTCAAATTTACAAATTTATAAAATATTGATTACTATGTATGGCTTTGTAAGACTATAAATGACCAACCACCCAGCTTTGGAGAATATTTTATTTTATTGAGAACTCCATTAGCCAATGGCAACAGCTAGGCTTGAGCGGTATACCGTATATACCTTATACCAGGGTATTTGGAAATAGCCACGGGAAGTTCTTTCAATACTGTCAACGTTTTTTTTATTTCAATATTTTTAGCTACTTACATTTACATTTTAATCATTTAGCAGATGCACTTATCCAGAGCAACTTACAATGTAGAAAATAGTAAAAAATAAAGAAACTTTTGACTGGTACTGTGTGTGTGTGTGTGTGTGTGTGTGTATATATATATATATATATATATATATATATATATATATATATATATATAGCTGTGGAAATAATTAAGAGACCACTGCAAATTGTTCTTAAATCAGCATCTCTACATGTATGACTTCCATGCCAGTGTCTGTTGAATTCCAACACAGGCACAACTCATTCTACTGAATTAGGTACTGATTAGGTGATCATCTGAACCAAATCTTATTTAACGAGAAAAAGTATAAAAACCACTGCTGTGGTCATCACTATCTTCTTGCAATAGGACAAGCTGGATGGCAAAAACAGTGCTAATAGTACCTCAAAAGTCATATTAATCAAAAAATAACTATTTACCATGCCAAAAGAGTTGAAAAGGAAAGTTTTGAGTGAGGAAAATAAGTGTTCAATTCTGGCTTTACTGGCAGAGGGATACAGTGAGCGTCAGGTTGCTTCCATCCTTAAAATGTCAAAGACGGCGTTTCATAAGAACAAGGTCAAGCAGCAGACATTGGGGACAACAAAGCTACAGACCGGCAGAGGGCGAAAACGACTCTCTACTGACCGGGATGACCGCCAACTCATTCGAATGTCACTCAACAACCGTAGGATGACATCAAGTGACCTACAAAAAGAATGGCAAACGGCAGCTGGGGTGAAGTGCACGGCGAGGACGGTTCGAAACAGGCTCCTAGGGGCAGGGCTGAAGTCGTGCAAAGCTAGAAAAAAGCAGGCTGAGGTTTTCAAAAGACCATAAGGATTGGACTGTAGAGGACTGGAGTAAGGTCATCTTCTCTGATGAGTCCAATTTTCAGCTTTGCCCAACACCTGGTCGTCTAATGGTTAGACGGAGACCTAGAGAGGCCTACAAGCCACAGTGTCTCGCACCAACTGTGAAATTTGGTGGAGGATCGGTGATGATCTGGGGGTGCTTCAGCAAGGCTGGAATCGGGCAGATGTCTTTGTGAAGGACGCATGAATCAAGCCACGTACAAGGTTGTCCTGGAAGAAAACTTGCTTCCTTTTGCGCTGACATTGTTCCCCAACTCTGAGGATTGGTTTTTCCAGCAGGACAATGCGCCATGCCACACAGCCAGGCCAATCAAGGTGTGGATGGAGGACCACCAGATCAAGACCCTGTCATGGCCAGCCCAATCTCCAGACATGAACCCCATTGAAAACTTCTGGAATGTTATTTATGAGTGTGCTCCTAATCTCAGCTCGTTACCTGTATAAAAGACACCTGGGAGCCAGAAATCTTTCTGATTGAGAGGGGGTCAAATACTTATTTCCCTCATTAAAATGCAAATCAATTTATAACATTTCTGACATGCGTTTTTCTGGATTTTTTTGTTGTTATTCTGTCTCTCACTGTTCAAATAAACCTACCATTAAAATTATAGACTGATAATTTCTTTGTCAGTGGGCAAACATACAAAATCAGCAGGGGATCAAATACTTTTTCCCTCACTGTAGGTGTATGTAAACTTCTGACTTCAACTGTATATATCAGCAACACCTCCCCCATAGGCATTCCTGTCTCTTCTAGATGGTAACTTATCAGAAATAGACCTAATATGGAAAATAACTAAAGCAAGAGGGGAAAAAAGTAGTTATGTTTATTTCCATGCTTTTGAAAGGAGCTGGCTACTGTACCTGGAGACTTCCAACAATTGCGCTAAGCTAACGATATGCAAACTTCAATCATCTCAAAACTGCAAGTAGAAAAACGACCTAAATCTCAAACCCTTCTGTGTTTCTTCTCAGGTGACAAAGGTGGACACCTCTCGGCCCCTTCCTGAGAATGCTTACCACTCGAGACCCCGGCCGGAGCCCAACCCTGTCATCGAGGGCCAACTGCAGCCAGCCAAGCACGGCAGTCGACTCTTCTTCTGGAGCTGGTAAAGGAGGTAGTCAGTACTCCCGGGTGGAGTTCCCCTAGGTTCAGATCTAGGATCAGCTTCCCCTCCCCTAATCCTAACCTTAACCATTAGTGGGGAGAATGCTAAACTGACCCAAGATCAGCGTCTAGGAGCAACTTCACCCCACACCAGGAGACACCCACTATCATCAGACTTCTTTGGACAGGAAGGGACTCCTATGTTGTATAAATGTTAATGATTGAACACAAAGCAACCAATGTGTTTATTGTTGTGAAATAAAACAAAATATTTAATTTAAACTTGTTTAGAAATCTCCTGTCTTGTCTAGTAGTTAGTACATCATATCACACATTAGAGCTGGTCCATTGTGCAACTAGGCCAGGATCTAATCACACATCAGTTCATGGAAATGTTGTGCTGAAATGTTTAGTCTTATTTGAGTTTGTTAGAAATAACACAATTAAATTGGTGCGAACTGTAGGTAGGAGACACTTTAATAAGTTGATTATGCAGACAGGAACAGTGTCTGTCTCCCACTTCAAATATTGGAGTGTAGTCATCTTCAATTTTATTGCGTAAGTGTCTTGTTGGGCTCAGGATGGTCCTGGGAAGACGGCCAGTTCAAATGGCACTGGTCAAAAGTAGTGCACTATATAGGGAATATGGTGCCATTTGGGACGAAGCCCCAGAGTCATTTGGAGAGAACACCGCTTTGCCAATATCCACACTAACACTGACAAAGGAAAACTGTTTAACTAGTATTGGAACGAAACTGTCTGAAGGGGTCTTTCACTGGCCAAAAGAGTACCCAACTTTGTCCCCACAGGGAATTTACCATATTACTCTGACCTGTTTTGTACTTTTCACTAAAATATTAACAATCATAAGGCCTGTATTTTAGATATAAAAAAAGGTGATGGTATAAATACGTAAAGCTAAAACCATTCCAAACAATATCAAACATGGGAAAAACCCAAGACACCATACTGTATTTTTTTGTCAATGTGCAAGACATAACACCTGATAAGGGCACTACATAGTAATACTAGTCAATAGTGGTTTCATGTCATTCCCATTCCCTAGCTTGCTTTCTAAAGCTGTATGGGCTGATGTCAGAGCAGTGTGGAGTCTGAGAGGTCTTTGGTGGATTTAGCCTGACGTTTCCTTGGCAGGGGGAGAGGCAGGGCTGCCTTGGCCGACCAGGGAGGTCTTTGCCAGGAATACAGAGGGTGCGTCCCAAATAGCACCCTATTCCCTTTATAGTGTACTACTTTGACCAGAGCTCCTGTAGGGCTCTGGTCAAAAGTAGTGCACTACATAGGGGATAGGGTGCCATTTGGGACGCAGTCAGCATCACAGCACCAGCCGGGCCCCAGAGCCCCAGGGCTGCTCAGGGTATCACATCAAGGGAAACATTACACTACTCCTTGAGTCTGAGGTTCAGTCCCAAATGGCACCCTATTCCCTGTATGGTTTGGTACTTTTGACCAGGGTCATATAGGTATCTGGTCAAAAGTAGTGCACTACTGGGGCGCAGACAGTCGGTGCGTAGCCTCCGACTCAGTCCTGTCAGACCACCATTGTAAATTTGATTTTTTCCCTACCTATTAGCATGTAGGAGGTGGGGAACAAGGGGGAAAGGGTTAAGGGTGGGCCTTGTGGTTTGACTTCTTGTTCCCTTAAAGCTTCAGGCACAACTCTGAGAATTAACCTATGCCATGTGGTTAATTTCTATAGGGACCAATAGGCCTGTACATTTGACAGTTCTCTGACTTAAACGCAACTATGTGGCCCTGGGGTGTTTTTAAATTATGTAAAGTGGCCTCTCCAATAACCCACTGACCAAGTGAACCTACTGATACAGGGTCAATGCAAAATGTTAAAATCTACAGATTCGAATGTCACTGCTTATGTGAAAATATTCATCAATCTTGAGCGTAGCGAGGATACAGTCTGTATATTCTGGAAATGTTTCTCACAGGTTTCCACTCCATCCTCTAAAAAACAGATTCACAGATGAGACCTATAACCTACTTCTTCTTCAGACAGAGCAGCCTAGTATCGAGATGATACCCTCCAAATACAGGCCGACAACCACAGGTTTATTGAATTCAGAAGACTTCTTTAACAAGGAAGACATGACTGCGATAGCTACAGTCTTATCCTCTACTGCCCTGTTTGGAACTGCCACTCTCCCTCCCCCCCGAAATAGGGAAACTCAATTGTTGTCAGAGCCAATTCTGTCTTCTGTAGAAATCCCCTGATGATCCCCTGAGGTGTGGTCTCTGGTCTGTAACGGTGGCTCGTGCAGGAAGCCTCCGACATCGGTGGTTCTGACCTGGGAGATGTTTAGCAGGATGGAGGGGAAGGGACTAAGCAGGGGTGGAGGATGGGATGGAGGGGGAGAGGTCGAGAGGGAATGGAGTGGCACAAGGCAGGGCCTGTCTGCAGGTGGGGGGGGGGGGGGGGGGGGGGAGTTGAAGGGGAGTTCAGTGACTCGAGTGGGGGGGTGGAAGGGGGTGCTGAATGGGGTGGGGGCTCAAGGCAGCATGGCCACGGGGCTTGTGGCAGGCCGGGCTCAAAGCCCCATACAGGAAAAGGGAGGGGGGGTCACCATCAGTTGACAGGAAGCCCACTCTGGTAGAGGAAAGAAATACAATACAGGACTTTCTCAAAGCAACAGCCTGCTCGGGACAGTAGACTGCGGTGCTAAAACACTTAAATAAACCAGCTAATTCACGTTCTCAACTGTCAATATTCCCATTGTTCAGCCCACCACTTTGACAGAATCAAATAAATATTTGAAGTGGTGCCCGACTCTTTCTTTCACAGTCATCAGGTCATCTGTGTTGGAGCCCTGGGATGGAATTCTATGAGGTGTGAAGGGAAGTCTTTACATAGGCACTGTTTCTTTGGTCTTTTTAGTGTTTGGTATATTAACTGAATATCATTCATTGTTAGTTGTAGTAATGCGCCCCCAAAATCACTTTTTGGTGACGATAATCATCTAGATTTTAGGCATTTCTTGATTGCTTTTAGCTATTAGGGTATTGAATCAATCAAAAATGCAGATTAGTTTGTTTTAGAAATCTGTCTTGTCTTGCAAAAATGTAAAGTATCAATACCATTATGAACCTTGTCAAGCTGACATGTTTGATTTGTTTATCCTCTTGTCTTCTCTTGAGCTCTCTGATCTGTACATGCTGTTGAGCGGAGTATGGCTTTCATGTTTCTTAACATGTAGCCTACATGGCCGCTTTGAACTCCCATGCAGGTTGTACTTAATACACAGTCTGACTCTGCCACTCATGGGAATTGTCATTCTGGAAGACTGGATCCCCACCAGTCTAGTCTGAATAAGCCGTGGTCCTATCTCTTGTTAAGCCACAACCTGTGTTCAAACACCATTTGAAATCATTTCAAATACTTTAGATGTGCTTGATTGAGCTTGTCTATTGCAATGGAATCAATAGAAAAGTCCCGAAAAGGCTAATCCTGCCCATCTGGTACTCCAGGAGGGCTAAAGCAAATGTACATTGAATTTGAAAGATTTAAAATAGTATTTAAACCGAGGTCTGGTTTTTAAGCCCACAGTTGCCCTAGCTCCCAATGTATTTCAGATGAAGTTGGAAAAATCCTGGCATATTTCTTGAGAAATGCAAAACATGAACCATAACATGAACATGATTAGCAGAGGGAGAATTCTTGCATTTTAATGGGATTACTGTCATGTGTTTGACAGGAGGGACCTATTTTACAAACCCCACACAACCACCCAAACCACTGATCCCCTGGCCAATTATAGAAATCAGTGCACCAAGCCAGTTGAAGCCAACACAGAAAGAACCTTACTGGGTCTTGAAGCTGTTTCTTCAAGACCCTAGTCTCCCCGGAGGCCTGTTGTTCTAATGAATGAATAAGTCAAATTAACACTTTTCAGCCAGAGCTTACCCTTTCAACGTTTTGTTGTTTCAGGGTCCTTTTAAAGGTGGCTGGGTATACAGATTCATTTTAGAAATGTGTACAACTACCATATAAAAGAAACAATTACTCAGAAAATAATCTGTGTTATATGATCACACACCTCATGTGCCCTGTAAAGATGGAATCACAGCTGGTGACAGAGCTATTTTAAAGTGACAGAATCTTTGTTTGCATTCTAGTGGCTTTCCGCTTTACATACGGCCTTTTACCTCCAGTGTTTTTATAAAACTCCCATGAATGTTTTGGTTCAGCTAACATTTAGCAACTGCTGTGTGTGTTTCAGCGAGCTAGGTGTTAGCATGGCAATGACAAGACAGCACAGGTGAGCTCTCTCATGCCACAGCACTCTGACTCATGTGCCTCTATAGATCTAGTGTATCTTATGTACAGTATGTGCAAAGGGGAATCCTAAAAAAATATGTAACTTTCAACTATAACAAAAAGAAAACGTTATGTATTCCCCGGTCTGATATCTTTCGTGGAACATTTGTTCATGATCGGAACAAACATGCATTTTATAAACTGTTTCTATTTACTGTAAACACATGTAGCTTAGTTTGTATTATTTCAGTTTGTATCCTTGAATAGCACTGCGCTGGTAAATATATTTTTAAAAGTGTAACACCTTTCTTCTTCAGGATCAGTAGAATGTGTTTTTAAATCTGTGCAACTGACTAATGTGAAGTGTGTGATGACATGATCTGTCTAAAGATCTCCTATTTCTCCCCAGGGTGTTGTCTCACTGCTTAGCACTCCATGAGTTGTGCTGCTGCATCCCAAATCAAATCAAGCTTTATTTATATAGCACATTTCAGACATGAATGTAATGAGCTTCACAATGAAAAAACTATGAAAATTTAAAACAGAAATATTTACATGAGGATAAAAACAAAAAGAAAAAACAATTAAAGCTGAAAGACTAAAAAAGCACACTATGGAAAAGCAAAGCTAAATATGTGTGTTTTTAAGATCTTTTAAATATGTCCACAGTTTTGGCCACCCTCAGGTTATCTGGCAGGCTATTCCAGAGGCTGGGGGCATAGCAAATAAAGGCTGCCTCTCCATACCCCTTGGTCCTAGGCTTTGTGATAGTTAAAAGGCA